TATGAATAAAAATTGTTTAATTGAACAATTACTTCGGCTTCAACAATTTGAAAAGGTAGAATTATTACAAAGAAATTTTTTAACGAAAAAGTACATTATCCCCTAATATAGATCGCTTTTTCACCCCCTACTCTTCCCGCACGTCCTGTTTTGTCAACATGGTCAAGGCCTAGATAGTCATCTGCCCATTTATGTTCCGATAGAATAACATCTATTTATATTCATTAATTTGCATGATATTTATAAGCAATTTAATTATTTAAAGATAAAAAGTTAAAAAACGAGTATACATACTATCATCGTCTATATATTGAGGTTTGGCATACGATACCGCTTGCACAATTGCAACTTTAACCTTAGAGAAATCTTTTTCGTTCATTCCTAAGCGTGATTGAAGGCGCAACTTCGTCGCAGAGAATGTTTCACCCTGATTGTATAAACGTAGAAACAATATAAATGCAAGCAATTATATAAAAAATGATATTCAAAAATACTAACAGCCTTAATAACAAATTTGAATGGGATTCCATGCGCGCGTAACGGTTCCTTAGTAAAATGGTATACATGAACAACTTTATCATTTTCACTTAGTTCGATTTCTTCCTGTGGTATTTCCTAAATATGAAATGTTTCAAAAAATCACGATTACACAATAAGCATTCAAAGGTAAAACAAATGAGTGAAGAACAAACCTCTGCATATAACGTCGTCATTTGTTCCTGTATTTTATCTATTGGATCATTAATTTCATATTCTTTTTGGATCTTGTGATGTAAGACATCATATAATCTAATTCTGTTGGTAGGTCCTTGCAATGATAGTTTTTGTAAAATTACTTCCAAAACTTCATTAACTACGGCAGTCTTTGGAAGACGAATATCGATTCCATCCTTTAAAACCTTTTTAAAAAAAAAAAAAAAGATAATTAGTAAATTGGATAATATATAAACCTGGTTATTATAATATTCTTTTACCTCTTCCTTAACAGTTGTTCCAAGCCAGTATACTTTAAAGAACTTCTTAGTTTCTAATTCCACAATACTAATGTC